CCGAGCAGGGAGCCCGATGCGGGACTCGATCCCGGGACTCCAGGATCATGACCTGAGCCGAAGGCAGTCGCTTAACCGACTGAGCCACCCAGGCGCCCGTATTCCATGTTATTGATGGGCCATTCTTTATTTAACCAAGCCCCAGAATGATGGACATCTGGGCCGTGTCCAGGTTTTGCCGTTGCAAACAGCCTCATCCAGGCCCTTTTTGCACTCACTGGGGTGTGAGCGCACCCCCGAAGCGGGAGCCGAATTTCTCAGTTCACACCCGGGCCTCTTGAGGCGCGGTGCCCACTGCCCTGCGGCCCTGCCCCCCCCCCCCAGCACAGGCATCTTACCGCGGGACTCCTGCCAGTCATAGGTGGGAGTGCTCTTTGAGGACCGTCTGCGTTTCTCTCACAAGGAGGTTGAGCATCTTTTCATATGAGTACGCCATTTTTATATTAATGATTTCTTTCTCTTGAAGCATCTATTCAGATCCTTTACCCTGTTTCCCTTGAGCCTTTGGTCTTTTTCCTACTGATGCGTAGGAGCTCGTTAACATATTAGTGCTACCGGCCACTTGCTGCTGATAAGTCACGGGTATATTTCTTAGGACTTCGTTGCTGGTGTTTTTGCCGTGGATTCCCTTTTTGGATGGGATGGAGCCATTTTCTTTCCTTTTTTTTCTTTTTTTAATGGCCTTTCGATTTTAAATCAGGGATAAAAAGCCTTGCCTACCCCAAAGTTGTAAGGCAATTCTCTCTTTTCTTCTCAGATCTCATTGTTGTCTTTTTATTAAGTGTTGAGTAGGTAACAAGAGAAGACATACAGCAAATATGCATGCTCTTAGGCACCGTCCCCCCCTTCCCCTGAGAGAGGATGTGCCTGTCACCTTGTAGGGTCCTGCCACCCCATCGTGCCCCCTCCTCTGCTTTCCCCTCACAGAGGGCACCACCATCTGACAGTTGAAATTGTTCCCTCGTGTTAAAGAGTTTTATTACGTTTGTATCCCTAGACCTAACCCTGTTCAGCATTGCGTGAAGCAATTTCCAAAGCATTTTCATCACCCCAAAAGAAAACCCCGTACCCATTAAGTAGGCACACCTTCTTTCCCCCTCCCCACCCCTGGCAACCACCAGTCTGTTCCCGGATTCTGCAGATTTAACCTATTCTGGACATTTCCTGTAATGGAATCTCGCAGCATCTGTGCCTTGGTGTCTGGCTTGTTCACCTAGCACATTTGTAAGGTTCATCGATGTTGTAGCATGTGTCGGTCCTCCCTTTCTGTGGCTGAATAACATCCCGCTGCATGGAGAGATGCGTTCAGTTTGTCCACACAGCCCGTTGCTGGGCACTGGTTTGTCTTCACCTTGGGTTCTCGTGAACGGGGCAGCTCCTTGCTGTCTCGTACTGAACGTTAAGATGCTGGGAGCCGAGACGCCTGGGTGGCTCAGTCGGTTAAGCCTCTGCCTTCGGCTTGGGTCATGATCCCGGGGTCCTGGGATCAAGTCCTACGTCAGGCTCCTTGTTCAGCGGGAGCCCGCTTCTCCCTCTGCCTGATGCTCCCCCTGCTTGTGCGTGCACTCTCTCTGACAAATAAATAAAATCTTTAAAAAAAAAAAAAAAAAAAAGATGCTGGGAGCCGCCTGGAGCCGGTATCTGTTGCTTTGCCCTGCCCTGTGGCCTCCCTCTCTCCGACTGCATCGCAACTTAGCCGTTCTTCTGATGTTGGGCATTCGGGTGGTTGGGAGTTGTGAACATTCTTGTCCTCCTGGAGCTCACATGTTTCTGAAGGGCATATACTCGGGAGTGGACTTGCTTGGGAAAGGGTTATGTGTGTGTTCAACTCTACTGGGTAAATGCCAACCTGGTTTTTTTTTTTTTTTAAAGATTTATTTATTTATTTGAGAGAGCGAGAATGAGAGAGAGTACATGAGAGGGGGGAGGGTCAGAGGGAGAAGCAGGCTCCTCGCTGAGCAGGGAGCCCGATGCGGGACTCGATCCCGGGACTCCAGGATCATGACCTGAGCCGAAGGCAGTTGCTTAACCAACTGAGCCACCCAGGCGCCCGCCAACCTGGTTTTCAAAGTGGCTGTGCTGGGGCGCTTGGCTGGCTCAGTCCATGGAGCGTGTGGCTCTTGATCTCAGGGTCGTGGGCTCGAGCCCCACATTCAGTGTAGAGATTACTTAACAACAACAAAAAAGGCAAAGCGGCTGTGCTAACTTATACTCCACCTTTTTCTTTTTATCACACAAACTTTGGCTTCACTTGGGATTTCTCCTGGTGTGTGGGGCGTGAACTATGGTGTCTTTCCTCAGATGGCTAACTAGTGGTTCCAAGGGCGCTTACGGCAGAGCCTCGTCTTTTCCCCTGACTTGAGACACAGGCTTTCTCCCATCCTACATTCTCCGGCGCTGGTGCCCTCCTCTGGATCTCGTGCTCTGTGTGTGTGCTAAGGCTCAACTGTTTCAGTTTATCGCCTGGCCTCTCTCAGTCTGGCCCCCGGCCTCTAGCTCAGCCCACTCAGTATTAGAGCTGGGGAAACTGAGGCAAGGCACAGTTTAGATTTGGGTCTTTCTTAGGACTTCTTGACGAGATCGGGCGCGTTCAGGGTGGGATGGCCGCAGACTCTCGGGACTTCTTGAGACAGAGCCTGGCCCCGCCCGCCTCTCTCCTCCTCAGCCTGACATCCCTCTGACCTCACTCCTCTCCAGCTCAGTGGCTCCCACTCCCAGGATAAAATTCCTCTTACGTCATCTGTGAGCCCCTTGCAGTCCCTCTCGTCTCCCTTCACGTCTGGCCTTCTCTGCTGCACCAGCCCGTGGCTCTCTGAGACGTCTGCAGTTCTTTCCTCCCGGCCTTCCCCTCCCACATGCCGCTCAACCCCCTCCCCTCCTGCCCAAGCTGGGCCGGGTGTCCACTCTGTGCCCGCAGTCCCTCCGCTTCCCTTGGATGCAGTGCTGGGCCCTTTGCCACCTTTCTGGCCTCCCCCAAGGGGCGCTGAGCTGCTCAGGGTCAGACAACCAAGTTGGCCCTGACCTGAGGCCACCTGCCTGGCCGAGTGTGACCCGGGTCCCTTGTGCCCCTCCTCCGCCCCTGGCAGGTGCCAACATTGCCTCTGGTGAAGAAGTTGCCATCAAACTCGAGTGTGTGAAAACGAAGCACCCGCAGCTGCACATCGAGAGCAAGTTCTACAAGATGATGCAGGGAGGAGGTGAGGGCTGGGTGGGGCCTGGGGGCGGAGCCTGAGGAGCTCGGGGCGGGGTGTGCATGCTAGTGTGCATGTGTGGGCGAGGGTCCACTCTGACACCCTCATCTCTGGCCCTCAGTGGGAATCCCATCCATCAAGTGGTGCGGAGCCGAGGGGGACTACAATGTGATGGTCATGGAGCTGCTGGGGCCCAGCCTCGAGGACCTCTTCAACTTCTGCTCCCGCAAGTTCAGCCTCAAGACGGTGCTGCTCCTGGCCGACCAGATGGTGAGTCGCCACCTACCCTCCCCAGCCAGGGACTGTGGGCCCTGCTGGGCTTGCGGCTTCCCTTCCAACCTCTGTTTCCCCACCGGGCACAGGGTACCAGCCCTGCCTCCTGCCTCTGGAGGATGCCACAGCAGGAGGCAGTGACAGGGACATGGACCGGGACCAGGGGACCTTGACCATTGGCTGTAGAATGGGGGAGGGGGGTTAAATGCAGATCTCCAGGCCTCCTGGGTTGGGCTCCCGGGGTAGGACCTGGGACTCTACCCTGGGGTGATTCTAAAGCTAGTGATCACACAGACCTGGGGCACACCCCAGCGTGCTGACTCTAGGTGATCGCTAAGCCTCTCTGACCATCAGTTGTCTCAGATCAGAGTGTCCCCTTTGCTGGGCTGTGGTGGGGTCAAGTGGGACACCATGCAGTGCCTGGACCAGAACAGATGATAAGCAACCTTTAGATCCTAAAGCCCTTTATAAACTCAGGGCAGGAAACCTTTTTTAAAAATAGAAAAGCATAGGATTTTGGACCCGGAATGATACACGGAGCTCCTGTTAGGCAGGGTCTGGGTCTGCGGCTGTTACTAGAACAGCCTTCGAAATGCCTCTCTAATTCCGGCCCCCCAAGTCCGATGAGGGTGTAGAGCCAGGCAGCAGAGGCTTCCCTCGGGCCCAGATGCCTTTCCGGGCTTCATCTCTAGATCTTGCCATTAGCTTTCCTACCTTGCTCTCTCTCCCTGTCTCACAGCAACCTCGGTGAACTCCTCTTTCAGAATTCCCGTCTGTGTCACTTCCTCCAGGAAGCCTTCTCTGACCTACCCCTTGAGATCATCTCACATAGTTGCAGAGACAGATCTTTCTGCCCTACCCAGGGCAGGGACCGCAGATGTGTGTTTTCCGTCCCTACCACCCCAGCCCTCAGGCCCCAGTGCAGGGCCTGGCCCTGAGTGCTTGGTGAAAGCCCTTCCCTGGACCGCTTGCTGAATGACT